GTTTAAGTCGAGATGCACATTTATCACATATGTGGAGTCGGAATTTGCATGAAGAAATTGAATACTTTTCATATGCAAACTTTCTGTCACAAGGATTGTAACATGGACGGACAAAGAGAACGAGGATGTTGTAACGCGGGATTAGTTTTGAAAAGTATTTATTTCTTGCTAAGTTTAAGTCGAGATGCACATTTTATTGTAGGAGGGCGTTTATATGCATGACGAAATTGAATATTTTTCATATGCAATATTTCTGTGACAAGAATCGTAACATAGATGGGCAAAGAGAACCAGTGTAGGAATGTGCCACAGAGATTTACGCAAACGAAACCAAAATTTCCAAATCATTTATCTTTGGGTGAAATTAGAAGTTCATCACTCGTGAATATCAGGCAACTTTTCAGATTCACAAATATAGTTTATTTCATAAAAATACATGGATATTTATATACATTGTTAAAACATTTGTTTTCGTTATCTTTAAAACGGTCGAGAAAAATGTTTACAAAATTTACATTTTCGACTCTGTCTTTACATAAATAAAGGTTAATGGAAACTTAAACTGAAGTCCTGTTGAACCCTTTCCATGACTGAAGTCTTGACCCCGCGGATGATTCTCGTGAAATCGACGTTGCCATGGTGACATCGAGATCTCGCGATATGGAGAACGTTTTTGTTTGTCAAACTATGCACTTGCTGAAGTCAACCTGAGTCCATATATTTGTACCATCGAACTGTGTTTAAAAAAGGTGCCATTTACAGTTCTTTTACAATATAAGATACATACACTATAAATAAAACATCAGTTTTAACTTGAGTTGGCATAGGGATTTCTTGATAGAAACAAGAAGGTGATGGATCAATTTTTAAAAAAATATTCCTGCTTCAAAAAAGTCCCGCTGCTAATGACATCCACAAGACTTGACAACCATGTTGCGATATTTCTTCAAAATCACGTTCGAGTTGTCGTCAAAGTACAGCACCGAAATGGCCGTCAGTTTGGTGGGGGCGCAGCACGGTTTTGGAATTTTCTCCGGCTCCATGAGGTGAACTAGAGTCTGAACTATGGCGTGGTTTGTGGCGTTCATTTGAGCGTTCAGTGGAAAAGCACACTCGCCGTCACAATAGAACGCTGAGTATCCGTCCGGAGCGATAATCCAGTCCTGTATAAGAACCAAACAAGATTTAATCAATTAAATGTTCGGTAACTAAAAAATTACATCGATCTTTGAATTACAAATTATGACGATTCCTTAATATAAAATGAAATAAATATGTCATCGGATGAATACACGATACATCAAATATAAAAACACCCGAACCGTTCATGAATCATTCAACAGCGAAATACTTAATATTATTTTATATAAATTTGAAAAGTTCCGACGGTTAAAAAATCCAAATCTATGAATAAACATTAACGGAAAATAACGAAAAGATACCTCGTTTACAACAAGTATATTCAATTATGCAGATAATGGTGTTAGATGTCGAATAACTGACGTACGAAACAGACGGTAAAGTAGCTAATACGAGAGAGAGAGAGAGAGAGAGATTGCCTCACCTGCCACCCAAGGGCTTTAAAACTGACATAAAGTGTTTTTCTTTTGCATGACTTTATGTTATCTGAAACGCAAAGAGTAAACAAAATTTACTTTGAATGTTTTAACATTCAAAGTAAAATTTTTTCAGTGTATGGGTATGTCTTGTTAAAACAAGACATACCCATACACTGAAAAAAAGTACAATTCTACATATGGACCAGTTGACGTGGCCGTCAGAAAATTTATAGTAGTTACAATATGTCACATGCAACTTTTTTTTGCAAAGTATTGATTCAGCCGAACAGCTCGAAAGTGTTAAACAGTATTAACCATCACATAAGAGGGGCCAAGCAATTCTCGTCTGCGTTAAAAAAGCCAAAAATTTCACTCACATGAAGGTGGCGCAAACATCTGTAGGGGCTCGTCAGGGTAACTGATTTCGAGGTTTTTCCGCTTAGCGGCACGTGCTGCCCTCGTGCGACGAACGTGGAGTTCTTGTGCCGTTTTGAAAAAGGAGACCAGGAATGCCTGCTTGTCGTCTGCTCCCTTTCTTCCAACTATCCCAGCTTCCCAAGGGTGAACATCTTCTCCTAAGAAAAAGAAAGATGAAGACATTAATCCTTTCCGAGTGAGAATGAAAATAAACACGCTTAGTAACGCTCAAAAAGTGTTTGCTATAATTGTAAGCTCTCTCTGTCTCTCTCTTTTTCTTTCTTTCTCTACATACATTTAACTTTGAAAAAACAAAACTCGGGTCACGCTGAACAATGATCCGATATACACACGTGGATGGACTCGAGCAATTTTACCGGTGTCGATTACTCTTTAAGTGAAATCAACAAGCCTCGGTGTCAGCGCTCGTTATCAGTGACGAAACACGCGGTTAACGGTGTGTGGTCCGCGTGCAGCGTCATGTCTCCCAGCCACGGGTGTCTGCCGAAACATCGGCTAAGGTTACCCAACAATTTGGTTACTTGGTCCATTACCGTCATTTAATGTGGCGCGAAGAGAGAAATTGAGAATTGATTTGCTTTTTTAGGGGGGCACAAACACGTTGCCACGACTGGAGAGTTTAAGAAAACGTGGCTGATAGACCTAATGAGCATGTGTAGCGATGATTACGATCAAATGGGCAAGATAAATTAACGATTTAACAAAATCAGACAGAAAGACTGACAGAAAGACAAAAAACCAGAGAGCTGAAGGGCAGTGCTACCACAAAATTGTGCACTGTGAATTTGCACGTTTGTAATTGTATCCATAAAGATTACCTTTTTCGTTGTGGACAGAAAGAAATAGTCCCAGGTTGTATGCTGGAAAAGCTTGCCACAAGGTGGCAGCATGTGTGACATTCATGAGGATCCATCCGTCCATAGATGCCAGTACAGTTTGGTTGGATTCGATCCTAAGGAATTTGTCTCTGAGGAAATAAATAAATAAATATTAGCCATATTTTTTGTTGATCTATCGATTACAATGTTCAAAGAGGGATCAATTGTATGTCAATCCTAAAGTTTTTGAAGTATAGACTACGAATTAAGTATAATTTCTTCCTACTGAGTGTTCGTTAGAGTAATGTTGTTTGAAACAAAATGCATATTTGATGATTTTCCAGGGAACCTTGTTGCCGAAGAACGCCAGACTTCATATTTTAGGAACACCGCTTTGAATAAACGTGCACGAAGAGACAAAACACCATAGTGTTAAATTTGAACAGGTAACGAGGGAAGTTAAAAATATTTTACTTTGTTCGGAAAAGCCATCTCCTCTAACACAATCGACAGTATTCTTCGTACATCGGCTGCTTCCGTACATTGGATAACACCGTCGATCATGTGAGGAATCGGCCGAGACTGTCCGAATGACACCGATCTCAAGTGCCAGAAAAGTATCAATTCAAAAGAAACGACGAAAAAAGTTGGAAAAAAACATACGCGAATATATTTCTGAAAATCGATCTTAACTATTTTAAGGAGAAAAATAAGAATTTATATTTTTCTCTTTTTTCTAAAAAATCTAATTGTTCTTACTCTGGATCTTGTCCCTGTTCTACTCTGTAAACTTGAATGGTAAACGAGGTATTCGGCAGCGCGCCCTCTACCGGTGTTTTATACAACCTCAGCTCGGCTCCGGTAATCGTTTCCTCCAGTGGCACCTCGCTGAAGTCGAAGTAAAACCGCCTGTCTCTCTCATGGCGTATTATGGGCCGCTGAGTCTCGGCTGTAAAATTAAAATGGATATTTAGTTAATTTCTCTTTGCTTAATATGTTGTTAGTACCTCAAATAACACTTCCGGTGCGCTCCAACATTTTCATTATGATTATTACTATAATTTTCAAATCTCCGCATGTACACGCTTTTCGGCCGATTAGCGGACATACGTTACAATATTAAAGTGAAGTTTCTAGCACGCATCGGATCTGAAACTTTGGTTAAATGTAATAAAATCATACAGCGCATTAGAACTACATGTTTTTAGTAAAATAATGAAAAGAAAATATTGCACGTTTAAGTGTCAGTAAACATGAAAAAAATCGGATCATTTGCGACGTAAGATTTTAAGGGCGCATTCCCATATATTTTAGATCGATCTATCCCCGTGGGGAGTCTCACTAGATTACTGTCAGATAATCCGGCTTAAATGTCCGTCCCGCCTACTACAAGCTGTAAGGGGGTAATTAACTTTCGTGCCCGCTCGGCTGACAGCTATTTAGCGTGAACCCCCAGGGAGTTAGGTCGATCTAGTTGGATCGATCTAATCTCTGGGAATGATGTCAGGCGGAATAAGAAATGTTAGTCGGAATCATTACATATGAATACCTTTCTTAGGTATCAAATTCGTAATTATGTGTTTAAGATTATACAGTCGTAGGCAATAGTACTTACTTTATTTTCTGAACAAATTCAAGTAAAGAAAAGAGCTAAGGAAACCGAAAGAAATTTGCAACACTGTTTTTATATATCCATTTCCATTAAAACCTACAATGCGGTACTTAGGTTCAAGTGTTTTGAACGTCTTATATGTTTAATGTTTGAACGAACCTGACAGTTATGTTGTGTGTGTTTCAAAAAAAGTCTCGCTTCGTGGGAATGACCTTTATTTATTGGCAAATATTTCCCTATTTATTTCTGATTCTTTTCATTCTTCTTTTTTCCAATATCTAATTTCTGTCCAATATTCATCAGTTTATTCACTATTTTCAATTTATTTACTCAGTGTTTGATTGTTTGTTTATTCATTCAGTAGTGACCATTTTGGAGAAACTATTGGCCTATAAAGAAACAAAATGAAGCAAACACAATGTTGCTCATTACTTAAGATTATTATCATTGTTACTTTTATTATTAACTCCTTCATTAAATAAAAAAGATATCAATGGGTTATGGTTTAACATGTCTATAATAAAAGAATAACACATGTAGTCATAAACGTAAAGAATTCCAGCGACGTGTTGAGCACTGTGCAAGAGGGTAAGGTTTCATGCGTTTGACCTTGCCATAAACCCGTCAGCTTCTAGTAATAGGTTCATTTAGCAAAGTTTGTTATTCTAAGGTGCGGTGATTAGTGTTTCCCATTAACTGCCCATTGCCCCTGCCTCAAGAAAATAACTGTCACTTTTTGGAAACGCAGGATAAAGAACGTGTTTAGGGAATCTGGTACGTAGCTGTTGTTAAATGTGCCCCGTTCGAGTTGCTTGAAACTTGTTTTGGTGCCAAGTAGTGTGTGTGTGTGTGTGTGTGTGTGTGTGTGTGTGTGTGTGTGAGAGAGAGAGAGAGAGGGAGAGAGAGAGATTGAAGAAACTCCATCCAGATCTACATTACTACCTCGAAAAGAAAGATATGACACAGCAGAGAACCATATTCAACTGCTCATATTCAAGGGTTTGAATGACGATAATTTTAGCCTTTGACAAACGAAAATTGCAATCAATTAAAGAAATAGACAGACAACCAACTAGGGGTTTAAAACATACTCTTATTGGGGGAGGTACTTGGACCGTGTGAACATCTCAAATGAATCTGAAGGCGCATGGCCGTTGAGTATAACGCAGTACTAGTGTGTTTGTCGAATATGTAACTATTGGAAGAGATCCGGTTAGTGTTAAATTAAACCTAGCGCAAAATAGTACAATTTAGATTCCAGAAAAATGTTCGATCACCTTTTCTTACTTATGGAGACATAATATTTAACATATACTAGAATCTCTGATACTAAACTGTCTGAGAGTCATATACTCCTTTCTTTTATTCGGTTCCTTTCTTGTCTTTCTCATGTTTTTCTGTGTCATTTATGTAAAACAGAGCGTTATCTCTCTCTCTCTCTCTCTCTCTCTCTCTCTCTTCAAGAATAGTACTGCTAAACGAAAACATATAACGAAGACGAGATGCATACCGGATACTGACAAAAATCACATATAACTGCAAAATAGTAACACGTGAATCCAGTGTATTAACCTTTACTAAAGATGTTTAAGTTTCCTTTTCCTGGCCCATGACATAAAGCAGTGGTTTGTTTACTGCCTCAAATACTTCAAGTACACTGATTTGACTGTTAGCTTACGTTAGAACTGGAGTTATAGGAAACAGGCTTGAAAACATGGAGAGTCGCCTGAGAGAGAGAGAGAGAGAGAGAGAGAGAGATTTTAAATATCCCTTTCTGTTTAATATTACAAAAGTTTGTCAAAAGAATGAGACACATTTCAAAAGAATGACAATGAATACGAATAAAAAAGAGGGAAAACAAGTATCCACAGTCAGTCACAATCTGTTTAGTATCAACCGTATAATAAATTTTAACAAGTAACTGAAATACGTCGTAAAGCAGTGGGTCGTCCAATTACAGTACTTACATGCATCGTCAACTTGAAATTTAATCAATTAATGCATTACTTAATGATTTATTCAGTGCTCTCCTGCGTGATGGTGATAAACTTTGGGTCACTAAGCAAGGGTATCCATACCCCGGGCACAACTACAAGTCCAATAACCAAGAACATGGATAAACAGCCACCGACTATTTATCCATGTCAGGGCGTAATGGAGTTACGGTAGGGCCTCGTAACGTATAACGTGACGTATGTGTGACGTAAGTAATAGCACTTTAGGGCATGCTCGCGACATGATATGACGTCAGTGTTAACGAGAACTCGCCCCGCTTCATGGCACAATCCTGAACGAAAACACCCCATTACGTTTTGAAGTTAAGGGAAGTATCCCATCTTACAAGCTTAACTACAAAATAATGCAAATACTTAATATTTGTACAACATAAGTTTAAATTTAAGAGATTTAAGGACGCATTCAGAGCCAGTAGATCCGCGGACTAGTTAGTCCGCGGATCAACTATGGCGCAACCAGAACGCAGAAAGCATGCCGAGATTCAACTGCCCCTGTTGGGCGAGAGAATAAAAATATTGTACTTTGTGGCATAGGGTATTCGTGATATTTTTTGTATATTTACTCTTTTCTTCTTATTTATAACCCCAAAGGAATTATGTATTTATTGAAACATTAAAATGGCCAGAATCACAATGAAGATGTTAGGCCTATCTATCAATATTCCTGTTAAATAAAATGCTGTTCAATTTCTATTTTTGAGAATAGGCCACTATGCTTTTCCCCCATGTGTGGATACTTTGGGAACAGTGCATTTTCTATATATCTTGATTTACAGTAAGATAAATGGATGGGTAATGATATTTTAATGTTTGTTGTCTCAAGGTCTTCCGCTGGTTTTCTTTAATCTTAGAAGTAAGGTCTATGAAATAAAAACCTCTTATCGGTTTCGTGCCCTCTAGATGGGTTTTAAATATGGGGACCTCCATTAAATTGTGTCGTATCATAAATGAAATGACCTTCCGTTGGATTCCTTTAATCTGAGAAATGAGGTCTATGTAATAAAAGCCTCTTATCGGTATCGTACCGTTTGGTTTGGTTTTGAAATAGGGGGTCTAAATTAAATTGTGTCGTTTAATAAAAGAAATGTCCTTCCGTCGGATTTCTTTAATCTCAGAAATAAGGTCTCTGTTACATAATCCGTAGTCTATTTCTTACTGTTTTGATGCTGCATACACCATAGAAAAGCATTTGATTATAGGCCTAGTATACTAGAACTGGCAGTGAAAATGAACGACTGTCAAAATTGACAACTGTTATCAACTTCACGTGTGAAAATTCACTTTGGACCAACCCTTCCACAATCAGCTTTTCAGTCAAGAAACACCGAACAATAACCCCAGTTATTACATTTCAATAATCTTTATTTGATCGCCGTTTCACGCTGTTTGCTTGTCAAACTGTTGTCCTCCGGTACAAAGGGTAAACGATCCGCTGCGATGTTATTCTATCATTACAATACACTACGAGCCCGTTTGTATCCCGAGGGAGAGTGACACCGATAACTTTGCGTCGGATTTCGTCCGCTGTTAGCTCTTCTCGTTTTTTGTTTACACGCAAAGTGTTTGGCCGCCCTCACACCGATTTATCAAAAACCGCTTTGGGTTTTTACAATTAGAAGCTTTGATCCTCCCCCCCCCCCCAAAAAAAAAAAAAAAAAAAAGAAAGAAAGAAAGTCCGGTGTTAAAAATCTGAAGGTCCGCGTAACCGAGCCTCTCACAAAGTTTCCGCTTGCCCTAAATGACATTATGCTGAATGTCGTTATTAAAACACTTCCAAACTTGTTAAAATTTCACAATGCGAATGCATCTGTGATAGCGCTGTCAGTAGACAATTCAGTGTTACAGATTGTATATATCAGAATTACCCCCCACCCCCTGCCCCCTACCCCCTGCCTCCTACCCCCTGGGTCCGAGCGCCACTGTGAATAAACGGTGCACAAATACATAAGGTGTCACAACAGTTACCGTACTGTTACGACTTCCTGCCGGGGGCACCGGAAGAGTTTTACCCCAAGTGTAAACTCCCACTCACTACAGTCCTTTTTGAGAGAGGGGTGTCTG